GTTCAGGTACAGGAAATAACTGGCAACACTGTTGCCAGTTACTTACTGTAACCGAACTTTTACAGTGAGTAGCTGGCAACAGTGTTGCCAGTATTCTACTGTAAAAAAAACCCCGGTAAGGTCTAACAGTGTACTGTTAATGTCATTTTTACCTACTTCATTTGAAGTTTTCCAAACAAATTCATTGAGTCTCTGCAAAAATGTATGTACGTGCTGTTTAAGATATTTTTTAAATAACACATTTTTACTAGTTATTTAGCAAAATACTAATATTCAGCTTAAAGTGCAATTTAAAAACTTAACTATAGGCTAAACTAGGCAAATTAGATTAATTATAGAAAAGTAAACAAAGTTATAAAAATGATTGTGATAATTTGGTTGCTCTGTGTGAATATTTTTGCCTTTAAATGCATCTTGTCGATATCTTTACCTTTTAATTAGCTCTGTGACATTGACATTGGTCGACTCTTAATACTCAATGTTAAAACATAAAAGGAACCAAAGAAAACACAGAGATGGCTGCAGAGAAATTTAGCTTATCATCAATGCATTGTCTCACTTTCTCCTCAATACTGACCATACACATACCAAAACTGAACTGTATATATATATATATATATATATATATATATATATATATATATATATATATATATATATAGCAACATAAAGCATCAGAGTACATGGGGTAATAATAGTTGAGCAGTAATTTACCATTTATTATCACAGTAACTATCTGTAATGGGTACATAAAGTAAATTACTGTAATTTATTCTTTGCACTACAAAATTTCATACAAATACTGCTCCTTTTACAGTAAAATACTGTTTCCTTTTATTACAGCAAAACACTGGCTATTTCACAGTTTTTTAATGCATAATCTACAGTAAGGGTTAACAGTGTTACAGTAACATATTACATTTTCCTGTAACGCAGTAGTGCAAGGCAATGCTAATACACTTTCAGTAAAATTTTACTCAGTACATGTTCAGTAACGGGTGCGTTACTACAAACTTTTCGCCCGCAAGACATAAACAAATATAAAATTCAACCGTTCTATTTCCTGTTTGTGGTTAGTGAACATACGTGTGTGTTGTCATTAAGCTTCCTCTGGCTATTGGACTTTTTTACTTTGAATGCGAAATTTCAGCCCCTGAGCTCGAGGTCCAAGGCTATTGGCTCAGCCTGGTTCGCAGTATTGTTAAGCTGTAATGCACAGGGGAAAAGTGGCAAATAGATAAAAATGGCAGAAGACAGTACATTCGCGAGATGGACATACATGCATATGGCGTTATTTCACTGACAAATGTCGTAAGTGCAGTATTACGAGTCAAGAGTGCATTCATGTAATACGAGCGAGTAAACGCACCGTCTTTCCTCTGTTCGTGGACAAAATCCCTCGCCTGCACTCAAAACACTGGCTGGGGTGCTCACGTGCAAATGATCTGCTCTTGCTCCGTCAGATGATGCAGACTTACAATTTGTGCCTTTGTGTTTCCTGCTTTTTTTGTGCTTTTGCTCTCCAGAGATCCTCCTGTTAAACTGTTATCCCAAGAATATTGAAATGGTGTATATATTGCTACACTGTTTACCTACAGGTTAGGATAAATTCTATGATAAATACTAGTGTTTCTGAGTGTTAGGTATACTGCCTATCTTTTAGGCTAATATTATTTACAACTTTTTAATGAATGCTTCATCATGCTGTAGTGAACTGATCAAATGAAATGCAGTGTAGTTTTACTACACTACAGTAAAGTGTGGTGAATTGTAGTATAATATACCTTATATTGTAAAAAAAAAAACTGCAGCATAGGGTAAATTGTTTATATTACACTAGTTGTAACACTAACAACTATAGTATTACCACAACAGATTAATTAATTACTGTTCAACAGATTAATTACTGTTCAAAACACTGTCCATGTGTGTTCAGTTCATGAGTGCTCAGGGTCCCTGTGGAACAGCTTTTCCTCAAAATGAAGAGAATGACAGGGAAAATGTCCTCCAAAATCTCATCAACAATGTGGAAGACAACTCAACCCAAGTTCGTTCTGAAAACGTAGTCCTGCGGACATTTCTGGAGACAGCGGAATACGTCCTGGGAGGTACGTACGGCTGCATTTAATTTTTTTCAAGCGAACGATACGGGGCGGTGGGATGCTGATGCTTGCCGGCTGATCGCTTACCTCCTTGTGGAGGGCTTCCCCGCTGCAACCCGTTTGTCCACTCAGCTCACCGTGTACGTTGGCAGGCTTGAGATGCAGAGAGGAGATGACCACAGCGATCGGTTTCGAGTCCGGGGAAGAGCAGTTCCAGCAATCAGGCAAGACAAAAACAGATTCCCAAAAATTAAGTGAACGAGTTTCGTAACAGGGTGAGAACGCGGTGAAATCCGAAAACACGGTAAAAAAAAAAAAATCTGTTTTTTTTTTTTTTTTTTTGGACGGCTTTTGTTAACTGTTGCTCGGGTTTAGGGAAGCGAGTGGGCCAATCGGTAAAATTGGTTGGGTTCAGGGAAGGAGGAGGGCGGGTCGGCCGATTTGCCGGTCGCGCAGTCAATCATCCGGTCAGTCGGACAGCGGCCTCTGGTGGGTTCATGCGAGAACAGCGTGGGCGCGGATTCGCAAAAACAAAAACTGCAGCCGTACGTCTCCAGAAACGTCCGCGGGACTACGTTTTCACAATGAGCCTGGGTTGAAGACAACAGAGCTATTTCACTTTATTTCAGTTGCCATGATAAAATAAATTTAATAGTGAGATTTATGTGAAGAGTGAATAGTACAGTAGGCTATAATACCTTATCAAGTGTTTCCCTACTTTCCATTAGTTACATATATAGTTATATTTTTGTTTAAATGTTTTTTTTAGTTGTATGGTGCACCTTTTGGATGTTTAATAATTTAAAAAAAAATAAAATGTATTTTTTACATACAACTTATATTTTCTCTGTCATTAAGTATTTGAAACTGGAAATATCTCATCATATAACATACAGCCAAAAATCTCATGGTTTATTAGATAAAAATTGAATATGTAAGTCTATTTCAGTATGTTGGTTATTGTTAATAAATACTGTACTAATATAAATCACATCAAAAAGCACGAAAGCAAGAGGGAACACAAGACAAAACTTGTGAGTCTTCAAATAATCTCACTGAGCGAGCAGGGAACTGAGAGTGCGCAAGAAAATTTGTGCATGAGCAGTGTATATTTGAAAGAGTTTGAGAAAATTTGCACGCGAGCAGTGTATATTTGGAAGATCACAAGCAGTTTTGTCTACAAACAGATTTCAGAAACCGGTGCACAAGCATTATATTGAGAAAGCTATATTCATCATGCTTACTTTGTGCATGACAGTTTTGTGTTGAGAACCACGTGAATTTAAAATGAATAGAATAATGGCAACAATAAGAAAAGAAAAAAAAATCTGCATCTTGTTTACATATAGGCCTGATGTGTCTAATATGAATATAGTCAAGCTACTCACAGATATTGCCAGATAATCACTTTACCTCTACCATACTTTTAACAGACTTTGATCATTTGTGATTCTGACTGTCCTCCTTTCTTGCATTGTCTTGAGCCTTCACATTGCCAATTATATACTATATTGTTATTAGCCTGTTATCATATCAATTTCTACTGGATGTAAAGTGCTCTGCAGTGCATTTTAGAATGTAAAGTTCTAATTCTGTAGTTATCTTGGTAAAAGTACATAGAAAGTAATATAAGAGTAATGTAACATTACAATTTTGAGACAGTAATATTTTTATGTTAGGGATTACTTTTAAATAACAGTAACAAGTAATCTGTAATGTATTACAGTTTGGAAGTAACTTGCACAACACTGTTCATTTAGAACAGTTGTACTACAACTGTCATCTAGCAAAAAGCAAAAAAATCCAGGCAATTTGTGTTGATAAAATCGTTTAGCAGAAGTGACTTAGGCTACGTTCACACTGCAGCCAAACCACATGAAATATGATCTTTTCAGTTCAGATTTATGCCACTTTCATATGTAGTATTATATCAGACATAAATGATGTTTTGCAATGCAACCATAGTGTGAACGATTGTGTCGGATTTCATGTGGCTTTTACATAATCTGCGAGCGACATGCGTCCTCATTCTGTGCTGCAAATATCATCTACTCATCAGCAGCACAGTAGTATGGCGCACTGGCAATTACTTTACCACTGAAAGTTGGTTGTGCATTTTGAAGAAAAGGCAAAACTTGTGCTTGCTAGCCAATTTGGCTAACGATTGACGCACAGGTTGATTAGGAAGCTTAAGAGCATCGATGGTGTTGTGGATAGGGGATCCGTGTGCAAATGAAGGGGTACTTTCATTTTAGGGGGATTTTTCTCTTCGAGAGAAAAAAGGGCAGGTGCTCAAGCACACAAAACCCCCTTCTGCACGTGTCAGTTGTTTATAACGAAGGAAAATGAAATAGCTGTGCAAACGGAGATAAACCATCTCTGCCTTCACAGTTAAGTCTGCGGCTGCTCATTAACCCTTGATGAGCTCACCACACTGGTGATCAGAAAGATGCGCACCAAATGTCATAAATCACAAATGATCAGTGTTTTCAATCACAAGTGACTTTTAGGTTTCAAATGCTGAAATACAAATTGCAATAGCAGAACAACCATTTACAGCTCATGAAATACACCACGGTAGTCTGTGTAAAGGGCAATAATAATATCAAGCATAATCTGACAATATTTTTCATACAGTATACACACTGTGTGCATAATTAGACATTTTGTGCTGTCTGTAACAGTACATTTGCGCAAGCAGGTCCATGTTCTGTTCACATTGCAAATCTGATATCGGCCACATTTATAACAACAATGTGAACTGTTATGCAAAAAAAAAAAAAAATCAGATCTGAGAAAAAATCTGATTTGAGCACTAAACCTTGCAGTGTGAACGTAGCTTTTTTGTTAAGTCCAATCCAGATAAATCTGAGTACTAAGAACTACATACCAAGCCTTATAGCTAGAAAGTTCTCTATGCCAACTTGCATAGTCAGGAACTGAGTAACAATAGGTACTGTGTAGTCTTTAGTCTTGGTCTTGTATAAAAGGACAGGTGACAGCAGTCAGTCAACAGGCAGAATCAGCTTCAGCTTCTCCCGTGTGGAACCACTGAGGATCAGACAACGCAAACATGAAGGTAAACCTCATTCTAGCACCCATTCCACACAGTGTAACCTAAAAATTACTTGACTTAATTTAACTTTTCATAACAAAAACATTATATTTGAATTTTTTAGGTCACTTTCTTTGAGGACAGGAACTTCCAGGGTCGCTCTTATGAGTGTATGGGCGACTGTGGTGACTTCTCCTCCTACATGAGCCGTTGTCACTCTTGCAGAGTGGACAGTGGCTGTTGGATGATGTACGATCAGCCCAACTACATGGGAAGTGGATATTTCTTCAGGAGGGGAGAGTATGCTGATTACATGTCTATGTTTGGAATGAACAACTGCATCAGGTCCTGCCGTATGATCCCCATGGTGAGCCCAATGTTAAGCTTATATAAGATACAGATTAATGCAGTTTTGAGCGTGAAGTTTTCTGCTTAATAAACTTGAAAATAACAGACTTCTTTTTCACTACAGCACAGGGGATCCTACAGAATGAGGATCTACGAGAGGGATAACTTCATGGGTCAGATGTACGAGATGATGGATGACTGTGACAACATCATGGACCGTTACCGCATGTCTCACTGCCAGTCCTGCCATGTGATGGACGGCCACTGGCTCTTTTATGACCAGCCCCACTACAGAGGCAGGATGTGGCACTTCGGGCCTGGACAGTACAGGAACTTTAGCAACTATGGTGGCATGAGGTTCATGAGCATGAGGCGCATCATGGACTCCTGGTACTAGAGTTTCAATAAAACAATTTCTATACATTACTAAAAATTCTGTTCTGAAAATTTGTCACATAAGACTTGAAATTTCCACAATTATTATAATAAATAAGTTACTAAAACTTTTATGTGTAGTAATGTGTTGAAAAAAAAATCTTTTCTCCATTAATCAGAAATTGTGAAAAAAAAAACATAAATAAACAGGGGAGCTAATAATTCAGAGGGCTAATAAGTTTGACTTCAACTGTGCATATACATACATATATATATATATATATATATATATATATATATATATATATATATATATATATATTAAGGGTGGAGCCGAACCCGAATACGGTATTCGGAAAGGCACGAATAGCGTGTTTTTACGAATACTTGATTCGAACAAGTACTTGAATAAATATTTGTATTCGGGAGCAAGAAAACCACTACATCAAAAAGCAGCATTTCCTCATGAGACCACAGTGCATGCCCACGTGAGTGAGTGAGTGAGTGAGTGAGAGAGAGAGAGAGAGAGAGAGAGAGAGACACGCTCAGTCGGCATGTCGGAGGGCGGGGCGGAGATAACAGGGTGTCTGGCACAAGCTTCTCCACAGCAACAGACAGAAGGCTCGGCTGAGCGAAAAAAATACTTCACTGCATCACTATTTTTGTTAAATAGATTTTTGTACCTTAGTTGGGTTCCAAAGGCAGTTTATAAACTTGTAGCGAAGTTTGATGGGGATATTCTATTACGCTGCATTATTGACGTCTGCAACCGGGTGTTCTGTTTACGCAACGTTAGCTCTGTTAGCGCGGTAATTTAGACAATAGTCTGTTGACAGAGTAACGTTAACGATCGTTTATAAAGGTTAAAGCGATACTTTTGCAGTTGTGTCGAATAGTATGCACTTATGGGAGTTATATGGTACTTCTAAATTACTGCAGCAAGATATATGCTATAGGCTAGTTAACCTTAACATAGCTTCCCGTCACTTTTTATTAACTTGAAACTCCTCAAAGACATTTGGGCACCCATAAAAAGTGAAAAAGAGTGCTGCTGAGCCATTTCTTGGTCCTCCACCAGTCAAAAGAAAAAAAAACCTTCAGGTTCTGTGTGGAAGCATTTTACAGTCAGTGCTGCTGCAGATAAAACAAAGTGATACTGTATAATGTGTGCAAAAGTGAAATCAGCAGAGGCAGAGATATTAAACATCTGTCAACATCTTCTATCCATAATCATTCATTCATTTCTTTTCGGCTAAATCCCTTTATCAATCTGGGGTTGCCACAGTGGAATGAACCACCAATTTATCCAGCATATGTTTTATGCAGTGGCTGCCCTTCCAGCTGCTACCCAGGACTGGGAAACATCCATACACTCTCTTTCACACACATACAAAAGGGACAATTTAGCTTACCCAATTCACCTGTATTGCATGTGTTTGGACTGTGGGGGAAACCGGAGCACCCAGAGGAAACCCACGCCAACATGGGGAGAACCCAGTCGGGGCTCGAACCAGCAACCTTCTTGCTGTCAGGCGACAGTGCTACTCACTGTGCCACCACGCAACCTTCTATGTAATGTATTATCACATGCACTAAAAGCATCCTCTCCTGATACTGTCTGTAAACCCCCACAAGCATCAATCCCCTCAATCAGCACAGCCATGTTCTGCTAAATCCTCCACAACCACCAAATCATCAACACAGCCACATTCTGCCCCAGCAAGTCAGTTTCAAGCATAAAAAAAAAACAAACAAACAAACTTTGTGTCTTTTTGTGGCAGGCAGATGATAATAGCAGGGCTGTATCTTTTAGTATTATATAGAATACTTTTGTTCTGCCAGATCTCCCAGGCAGGGTTTTATTTAGATTTATTTTGTTAATTTTAGTTTTTGGAATTCTGTGCATTGGAAAGAAGTTCTTTCAGGAGAACAACAGTTTTTTTAAGTATTATTTGTGTTTATTCTGTCTATTCAGTGTCCTTCAACAAGAACGGTGGTGGTGGGGTTCATAATATTCACCTTGGTATTTTATTAGTTGTTGGTTTAACCATGGATGAGATAATGGCTTCTATGTTATTATCTTTTCAATGACATTTCTTGTCACATGTTCAAAAACAACAGCCAATAATGCATATCTATAATTTATATAATGGGTATAATTAAACAATACTTTCACTATAACGTAAATTAGAAGTGTAATAGAAAAAATATATTTTTTTGCGCCATTTTGAATTTTACTCGAATACAAATACAAATACAAATACTTTTCCCCCCTCAACAAATACAAATACAAATACCGGCTGCTCCGCACATCCCTAATATATATATATATATATATATATATATATATATATATATATATATATATATATATATATATATATATACACAGTGATGTGAAAAAGTGTTTGTCCCCTCACTGATTTATTATTTTTCAACATGTTTGTTACACTTTAATGTTTCACATCATCAAACTAATTTTAATTAGTCGAACAAAACCAAAGTTAACACAATATGCATTTAAATTTTATTTTTAATTAATAAAGGAAATTAAATTTCTTTAGCCACACACATGCCTGATTACTGCCAAACCTCACAATTAAGAAATCAGTTAAATAGGACCTTTTTTACAAAGTACACTAATATATCCTCAAAGCCTAGACATCACGCCATAGAAGAAGATCCATAGAAACTCAAAAACAAAAAACAAAAATTTAAATATACCAACCTGAAAAGGGTTATACAGCCATTTTTTAAAGCTTTGGGACTGCAGCGAACCACAATGAGAGCCTTAAACATGGCAAAAACATTGAACGGTAGAGAATGTTCCCAGGAATGGCTGGCTGACTACAATTATCCAAAGCACAGTGACAACTCATCCTAGAAGTCACAAAAGACCCCACAACAACCCTCACATGTCTCAGTTAATGTGAGTATTTATGAATCCACCATAAGCAAAAGATACCAGGCAAACCAGTTCATAGAAAAAACACTTAACAAATAGGTATGGCTACTGAGATTGCTCGAGTGAAAGAATGTTACCACTGGGGACATCGGTGTATTTCACACAAGCACACAGAATGCTCTGATACTAGAAAGACATGACCAGCAGGGAGCAGTTATGTAACACACTGAACTAAGGTTCATTTTTTACATGTATTAATCCATAAGATGAATTTGGCTAATAAAAATTTGATACAATCCTTCTGGATGAAATTTGAATATTCTTAGTTTCGTTCTTCAAATTTCATCTGACAGTTGTTGTCAGAGCGTCTGGTCTGGAAGGTCAAACCTGTGTGGGAGCAGGCTTATTTCAGATAAACTGCATTACACTGTATTATTTCAAGCAAAGATGATACTGAAAGTATGTTCTAACTGTATTTGCATGCCATTATGTGTGGAGTAACACCACATTTCAGGAAAAGAACAGCAAACCAACAGTAAAATATGGTGGTGGTGTTATGGTCTGGGCCTTTTTTGCTGCTTTAGGACCAGGGATACTTGCTGTGATAAATGAAACCATGAATTCTGCTGTGTAACACAACACCCTGAATAAGAATGTCGTCCATCTGTTAGTTACCTTAAGCTGAAGCAAACCTGGGTTCTGCAGCAAGACAATGATTTAAAGCACACTAGCAAGAATGGCTGAAGAAAAACAAAATGAAGATTTGGAAGTGGCCTAGTTAATTCATGACCGAAATCCAATTGAGATGCTGTGGCATGAGCTTAAAAAGGTAGTTCATGCTCCTGTGACGTATGGCAGGAGGGCGGATGGAGAAAGACCCCCGAATAGAATAGAAATACAATAGTTTACCCAACTATGCCACTTTGAGAATTTCACCCAAAGAATTAAAACAGACGCCCCACCTATAAAGCCATGCACAAGTTCACTCCACCAACCAAAGTAAGCGACATTGGCACAGTACAAAAATAATTTCTCAAATCTTGAATAAAAGCACAATTAATGTATGGGGATTTTGTTCAGAAAGCCAATCGTCTGAAAGATTATGTAAACGGACCAATGTAATGCCAAATGAAATGGCAGCGTCAGCTTGCGCAACTGATGCTTGTTGCAATCAATTGAGCATAAAAGCACAGCAAAAGCAAGAAGACACTAACTTTTTTAAGCTGAAGAGACAGATTTCTACAGCTAAGGAACAATCATTATGGCAATGCAATATTACATTTCCGTTCCCCTCCTTAGAGAACGAGGGTTACTTCAGTAACCAGAGTGTTCCCCTTCGGATGGGGAACTCCAATGCTATAAGTAGATTTAATCCACATATGGGGAAATGTCTGGAAAACGCCATTATGACTGCACATTACATTTGCCTCTGATGAGAGGATAGCCAGTCATAGCATGAGCGCTCCTGCATCATAGAGAGGGTCGCGGTCTTTTAACGTGATCCCTGGCCCCTACTTATCCCACTTCAAAGAAGATTTACGGATGTAGATATATTTTTCAGGAGCCCCAAGCATCTAAATAATTTCTAGGAATTTAATACGGCAGTACGTTGGGAAAGCGTGCAGTCCCGATAGGAAGGACACTGCGGAGGCCACCTGCTACCCAATGGGGAGATATGATGGCAGAATATATGGACTAGCCCTGAGAAGGAGGAGTACACCTATAATAAGATGGTTAGTGGAGAGGGAAGACACATGTCCGCCTGTGAGGGGGGACTGCACCGTGGCTGAATAAGCATATGGGATCGCCTGGTAGGGATCACGCATAGCGGGCACCTATACCCAAAATGCAGGCTGACCAGAAGGCAGACCTACAACGTAATGGGTTAGCGAGTGACTCCTCCGCTGAGTCAGTGCTGGGGGCCTTGGAGGAAACTGCAGGGCTCACCTAAGCGGGGAACTTTACTAACAGAGTGAATAAGTGCACGTATCTGTGTTAGGGAGAATGGTGCATCAAATGTTTTTTAACACCTTAACCGAGTGGTTTCCTCAATCACCAAGGGTTACCTAATACCCTTGAGGAAACCGGCTCCACTCGCAGATTGTAAAACCTGTATTACCCTCTATTAGTTGTCACCCAGCCCGCAGCTCTACAGATGTCTGTTACAGAGGCGCCGCATACACGCGCCTAAGAAAATGAGAAGCTTCGAGTGGAGTGCGCACGCACTCCTGGGGCACACGGCTCGCGAGGGAGATGGCATCCACTATCCAGTGGGCCAACCTATGTTTTGATACGACACTTCCCTGCTGCCGACCACCATAACAGAAGAAGAGCTGCTCAGATGATCAAAAGCTCTGAGTGCGGTCCAGATAAATTCGCAAA